AGGGCCATACTTAAAAATGAGTTCTGAAAACAATCAGACATTGGATAAAAATGTTACGAACGTGTATTTAATTTAAAAAGAATATTTAAGTGAAGTCATTAAGACTAAATCATTGAAAAGCGCTTTTTATTTCTTTCCGTGCACCGAAGACATTATTTATTGAACAGCCCTCGTAAGCACAAATAATAACACTGTATTCGACACCATGACATTGACCTTAGTTTGATCTAATTTTCAAACGTACGTTTTAACAGTGCTGTTTACTTTTGAAAGATTAAGCATTTATATTTGACACGTGCATGACTTGTGATAAGATTTTTCAAACTATATTATGATATTTTATTTCAAGATGGTCTGATTTAATTTGATTAACAAGAACCTGTTGGAGATAGGTAGCTTAACCCGGTACCTGTAACAGGTAGGTCAAGTTATTACTAGTCTTGGTATTTGTTAGAGATAGGAAGCATCTGTTGGAGGTAGGTAACTTCAGTGTAGTATGAAACAACTGTCTCTCTCTTCGTTTTCTGTAAGTTGACACCATATATTATCTAATACAGATTCAGGTTTTCTTTGGATTCTTGATTTTTATTTACAGTTGAATGCGAGAAGTAATGATTGCTGTTAGGCCCTAAAAATCTTCTCATTTTGTTTGAAGGAATAACTGTCTATTTTTTGGTTTCATGATGTGCTCAATCGATTGACTTGCATGGGTGATAATTTGCAAAAGGCATTTATGCATTAAACTATCAAGAAAGCCATTCTATTGATTATCGTCATGAAACGAAAAAACAGTTGTTTCTTATATTTACATGACCATGATTCCGCAAATTCACGTGCTGCAAGTCCCACTTTGATCCCTATTTGTGCCGCCCCGCACTTAAATGACTATCGATGAACCAGAAAATTTATGTAGAAATAAACTATTTTTACTACCGGTATTTGTAATTTTATCTCGGACAAAGACGTTGGAAATATAAATATAGAGAAAAATGAAATACGGAATCAATATTTGTTTTGTACGGAAGCCCATCTAGGACCTATAAAAATATTTTTGAAATTTGATATAACGAATTGTCGAATTTTTTGAAATTGTTATAACGATTTTAATCTGTTATAAAAAATTTGTTGAATTTATTATAACGATTTCTTTAATTTGTTATACCGAATTAAATTCATTAAAACGAATTTAAAAATTTGTTATAACAAATTAAATTCGTTTAAACAAATTCTAGTTTGTTATAACAAATTAAATTCGTTTAAACAAATTCCAAAGTTTGTTATAACGAATTAAATTCGTTTAATTCAATTCAATAATCAGGGCCTATAGAAAAATATATATATGAATTCGATATAACGATTTCTCGAATTCGTTATAACGAATTTAATTCGTTAAAACAAATTATGGAATTCGTTTAAACGAATTCAATTCGTTATAACAATTTTTAGAATCTGTTTAAATGAGTTTAATTCGTATTAACAAATTTTTAAATTAGTTATAACGAAACAGATTAAATTAAAAAAATTGTTATAGCGAATTAAATTCGTTATAACAAATTCGACACATAGGCGTCGGAACCGGGGGGGGGGGGGGGGGGGGGGGGGGGGGGGGGGGGCTAGAGGGGCTTAGCCTCCCCCCACTTTTTTTCCAAATATATCCTTAGTATAGACATTGAACATATCTTTGTAGGTTTAGCCCCCACTTTCCACAGATACGTTTTAGTACAGGTTAAGAATGGGGAAAGTGGTGGTGTTTGGAAAAAACTTTTTTTGGTACTGAAGTTCGAACCTATCCCCCCCCCCCCCCACGAAATAGGATTTTCGTGTTTTGGAAATGGACATTTCCCCCTTGTTTTTTGCTTGTCAGGTTTTTTTGAAGGTACAAAAAATTTTTTTTACACTTAGCCCCCCCCCCCCCCCCACTTTCAATTTGATTCCGACGCTAATGCGACAATTCGTTGTATCGGATTCAAAAATATTTTTCGATAGGTAATAAATGGGCTTCCGTAAGGATATCGTATATTTAAGGTCCCCCCAATTAATATGGTTAATGATGTAGAAATGTTAAAGGTAATATGCAGGGTAAAGATATACCCGAATGCACATCCATACATATGGAAAAAATTATATTAAGCAACCAACATGTAAGTATATTATATTCGATGCAATAAATTTCTTTTTTCTAGACAAACCTTTTTATTGTCAAGGTACAGGACACACATATTACTTTTCATATAGTTGAACTAATGGCAAATGGTTGGCGATATGCAATTTAAAATGACGCTATCGCCTTTGTTAATTGGAGCGGGGAAAATGTTGATGGGCGGTAACCGTCATCTTGTGTATGGTGAAGTGCTAAGGACAAAATGTACACTGTTTAATTCCTAGCAAGACATGTAGACAATCTGAAAAACTGTACATTCAAAAGGTTCAAAAATCAAGTATAATAAAAAAAATTTACTTCATTAATAATGATGCGTTAATGATTTTTAATAATTTTTGACAGAACCAATGGATTTGTATGACGTCATCGTAGTGGGGGCTGGTATTGAGGGTTCCTCCACAGCATACCATTTGGCAAAACATGGGAAGAAAACGCTGTTGTTAGAACAGGTAATACAAAAAATCTGATTTTGACATTCTGTTTAAATTAAGAGGAGGCTCTAAAATAAAAATATATGTTAACTTTGCAAAAAAAAAAAGTAAATTAAAGATCTTGAAATGATTCGCAATAAAACGACCCTATGTCTCGTAATACTTTAATATTTGTGTCTTTTAGTTTCCACTGCCTCACTCGCGTGGGAGTTCCCACGGCCAGAGCAGGATCACGAGGAAGGCGTACGGGGAGATGGAACATTACACGCTGATGATGAAGGAGTCGTACAATCTATGGGAAACTCTGGAGAAGGAGTCAGGACGAAAAATCTTTAAGTAAGCCGGAACCCCTCCAACAATTAAAGTTGAATAATGTTATGACGGTACACACTACTTTTAAATTATTTTTAAAAGAACTTGCAGCTTTTGTCTTGAATAGGCAAACGGGAATGTTGACAATGGGGTCAGCAGACGACAGGTTTACCATGGGAACGATCCGATGTCTGCAACGTCATGCTATCCCACACACCGTACTGAACTACAATCAAATGAAGCAAACGTACCCTATGGTAGAATTTCCAAAGGATTTTACGTTTGTAGTCGATAAGAGTGGGGGTATTTTAATGGCGGACAAGGCTCTGATGGCATATCACGTATGTAAACGAAAATTTTTAAATGGCTCTTTATAAAGTAGTTATTCATTTCTTAAATAAAAATGTAATACAATTTTTGTAAAGTATTTTTATTTATTCTTTTCCAATATCAATTTTATTATCTTTGTAGCATCCTATTAAAAATACTTAGGCTATTATTATGTCATGACAAGTAATTATCGCTACTTTGTATCACAGGACATGTTCCGTCGTTACGGTGGGACAATCAGAGATGGGGAGGAAGTGTTGGAGGTAATTCCGGGAGATAGGGTGGAGTTACGGACCGCTACCAATAGATACAGAGCAGGATCGGTCGTTCTGGCAGTAGGAGCGTGGGCAACAAAACTGCTACCCAAACTTCAAGTTCACCTGCCAATAAAGGTAAAATAAAGCATTATACAGTACAGTCTCACTCAGTCTCACTTACTTGTACTTTTACTTAATTTCAACTGCTTGTAATTATGAGGGCATATATAATATTTTAAACAATGTAGGTTTGAAGATAAAGACACTATATTGTGCTGAAATATTTAATGTTGCTTCTAGATAATTTACCTTTATAAAAATTATTGTTAATAAAAATATTCCAACATTACTGATTATTTTTTGTTAACTGAACACAGAAAAAGTCGCAATCAAAGTTTTAAGTATTTTGAATAAATCAAAATAAGCAGTATCAAACTTTTCTAGTATGTTCTGTCCTCATGTTGAAGGTCATGAGGATTAATGTCCTCTACTGGAAAGAGAAGGTCAGTGGTAGATACGGTCCTGACAAGTTCCCTGTGTTCCTACAAGAGAATGCTTATAGTGGTTTTACAGTTTATGGTCTGCCTAGTGAGGAATACCCAGGACTCGTCAAGGTTAGAAGGACATTGACAAGTTTGGAAAAATACAATTATAAGCTTAGTATGACGATAATTTTATTTTATAGAATGTTAGAGGGCAAAATTAAAAAAAAAACTTGAAATTTACACTCTATTTTTACTTACGGCAAAAAATGTTTATGAATAAAAGAAACAGGAATTACACTTTGTATAATATTTCAGATACATTTTTTTCTGTTGAAGTAATGTTCTCTTTGGCTTTGCAACGAATGTTCGATATCAAAAGTGTAAAAAACAATCAATGAATTCTTCGCATTTGGGACTGTGTAGATAGATATACTTTATTTCGTCGTTATGAACTATCTAACAGATTTGCCTCCATTGTGGACCGGAAGTAGATCCTGACACTAGAGACAAGGCCGATGACACGTGGGTGATTAATACGATGAAGAAATACATATCAAAACATTTTCCGGACCTAGAACCAGAGCCAGCTATATCTGAAACATGCATGTACACGGTAAACGGCTTATTAGTCTGAAAAAAATTTTAGGGTAATGTTGCAGATATAGAGACCTATATCATTTCGTGATTTAAAATCTGAATTGCATTAAAGGTATTTACTTTAAGTATGTTTCAATCTTTGACGTCATAGAATTCAAAATTTCAGTGGTCTGAAGATGAAAATTTCATCCTTGATCACCATCCTGCCTGGAGAAACATTGTCATCGGTGCTGGATTCTCGGGTATATTTTTTAGTTCATTAAATAAATTATTCAGAACTTGTTTTAAACAAAAGAAGAACAATATTGAGGAAATCAATGTAAAACGATATCTGTTTGATTTTATTTCGTATTAGGTCATGGATTTAAGTTGGCTCCAGTAGTTGGGAAAGTTCTGGCAGAGTTAGCCACAAATAAACCACCTTCATACGACATGTCGCCATTTAAAGCTCAACGATTTCGTCACAATGCTAAATTATAATGTCTTCCATGTAATGTAATCTGAAGAAATAAATAACATTGTTAAGTCATTAATCGATGCTATTAAAGTTATGATTTATGTTAATTTCAATTACAATTATATATACGTACTGTTGTGTATGTCTTCTGTTTTTTCTGTTGAGAGAAAATGTTCATGATTGATATCAAATGTTAACTGAAAATAAATAAATAATTTTTGGATAACTTTGCAAATGTTCGATTGTTTATTTTACGATTCGTAGCCTTATTTGTTTACAGAGGTTGTAAGTAATGGTCCAGTCATTTTTACTCAGCAAGGTAAGTATAGGATTTTTATTTTATTTTTTCGGTGGTCTGATCCCACTTGGATGTAGGGTTTGAAAATATTTAATTTTACTTCATGTTTTACCCACAGATGTAAATATTAATACATGTAAATAACAAAAAGTAGGGAAGCTAATAACACTGGGAAAGATTTAGAGAGAAAAGTCAGGCAGAAATATTTAGAACTGATTAAAAGAAGAAAAGATTTCATTAAAAATGTTATGTATATATACATGTATATACCTCTTTGAACTTTGATTGAAAAACAAAGTGTTTATATAATGGACTACATATAACACTTGGTATGAAACACGTTAATCAACATTTGACTCAATGATGAACTGCATTTGCCTTACGTCGCGGATTCGAATCCCACTTGGGACGTGGAGGCCGGTCCTTCGGATGAGACCGTATAAATCGAAGTCCAGTGTCGCAGTATATAGATGCTTCATTTTAAGGCTTTTTGAATTAAATTATAGATTAAAGAGTTACCTATCCTGGTCGGGGGTCGTAGTACCTTAACTACACATTATCAAAGTGAAAATAAAAGAAATTTGATGTTTCGCTTTATGTAAATCAGTAACGGGTAATGGGTTCATCATAAAAGATATAAATACATGTAAGTCATTTCCTTGCAAGAAGGTCCTTAATTATAAGCCAGGAAGATGTTGTCGTAATTTAATTTCAATGAAATATGACAGAAATGACACCAAATAACCAATTATAAAACTGGATGACGAATATTCCGAATACTTACTGAGATAGAGACACTCAGGGGCCACGGCAATATGTAAATTAAAAAAGGATGACGTCAAAGTGACGCTTTAATAGCGATCTCATGTTCAAATAAAAATTAATGATTGGTATCAGATTGAAAGATCTTAATCGTGAAAAATACAATACTGGATTTTATAATTTTTGTTATTGATTGTTGTTAAACGTAAAATGAAATGTAGGAGATAACGAACAGTATTAAAGCTCAAAGGTCCCTTAAACAATATGGAGTTTGAGCAGACAATTTCACTTATATGGAAACGCCGCAATTTGCTGATGAAGTGCTGCAAATTGTGACATATATTCGGCATTCACAGATGTTGAGCAGTGAGAGCTTGTAAGTACCAACATTTACTGCGACACAGGAACTCGGGTTATAGGGTCTTATCCGAAGGACCAGTCTCCACGTCTCACAATAGGATTCAAACCCTTGACAAAAGAATCAACTCCTTACTCTGGATTCTTGAGTCGTCGCTCTTCTCACTGCACGACACTACAATTAATTTTATGCAAATTGTTTAAATCTTTATAATAAATTAATTGGTTGCTACAATCGTTTGAATGAGATATATAAATATAATGAACAATATTCAAGCTCAAAAGTCAATTAAACCAAACAAAATTGGGGCAGAACAAACATAAACATTAAAAAAATCAGATGTGGGATTAGGTGCCATGGAAAATCGGGCATACTTGCCGACTGGTCACACCTGCTCTTTGCTCCTTATCATAATTGCGAAATAACGGAGAAGTCCGTCGACAATTTAGTGTGTATAAATATTGACAGTCAGTTAATATCTTCCTGTTATTAAAATGTATCTGCAAACAAGGTCATTGTATCGGCTATAGAGACTGCTGATATTCTTGTTTCATCAATTTTCCCTTCAATAACTTACCTTATTTTAGAAATTGTTTATACGTAGAATAATCTCTTGCGTTTCGAATCAACTGAGAGGCATAAATGTTATGAAAAAGGTATATTGTTGCATGAGGAAGGGACGTTGAACAATTGAAAAGACAAAGTCTTCATGTGTATCGGAATGCTTGGTTGTTGTTATCATAATTTTTTTCAAGTAAAATATCCAAATATGAAATTGATGTGTTAGACATTGTGGAATCTTTTATAACTACAAATTCACCGAGAGATATTACATCAACATAAGAATGGAAACAACCATTGTCGAGTTGAAGGCCACAACAAGTGTTTTTCACGTGTACGATTTTGGAAAGTTTTTCCTTCACATGAAAACAAAACTAGGTCTACTAATAAAGGGGTTCATTGGTATCCATGTGAATTCTAAAGATTGCTGTAAGACCTGGCCTCAAAACAACATAGATGTGATCAATTCGAAACTCAAGCATTCTTTTAATATCAGCTTCAGAGTACTTGAATGTACAATCAGAATGTTTTTGTTTTTAACGAAATGATTTTGAAAATGATCGGTGACAATATAAGTAAATTTACGAGTTCCATCCCTATTGTAAAAGCAGCTGTCAATAATACCTAAAAGACTGTGCTTTTATTTATGGTTGGGATTGGTTGTATGTAAAGTTGAAAATTTGTAAAGAATGGAGGCGTACAAGGCGAGGGCAATCCCCCGCTCTGAAAAAAGACATTTCTCAATTCAAAAAGTAGTATTTTTTCAAAATTTGATGATTTAAATCATCTTTTACATATCAAATTCTATATTTCATTGTTTTAATAATTTATGAATAATTTATTTGTACTCATGTTTTTAAAACATTTGAAAAAAAAAGAAAAACTTCATGTATGATTCGAACTCTCTCCAAAGCGCAGGTTTGGTCCAAGACCAACCGCTTTAACCACTACGCTACGAGGTATATGCACTATTGAGGTCTTTCAGTGAGATTTAAATGGACGGGTTTGTTGAAGCGAAAAAATTTTCAGAAAAGTTCGATTTTCATATAGAATGGGTTCAGATTCCATTTTTTGGACAAATGAAATGGATTTCACATTTACATTTCCATTATTTAAGCGTTCACGAACAATGGAGACTTGACCCATTCATGTTCAAAATTCGTTTTTTATAGCTCTATTAAACACATTTTCCACTAAATATGCTTAACTGTCAACTTTGAAATAAAGATTATCAAATGATAAGTCGTTCAGTAAAATAAAATAATAAAATATTTTGAAGATGACATTACTGAGAACATGATTTTAGAAAAATATAACTTTTTTGTGAATTTTGAAAATTGAGAAACATTTTGTCTCAGAGCGGGGGATTGTACACGCCTTATACGCCCTCTTTCTTTTTATGTATTTTTTTTATTTTCAAATTAGTAAAATTCTGTGAATTTCAATTTTCCAAAAAGGGCAGTACTCATTAAGTTTCTCTTTCACTATTGTTTATATCTAAGTGAGGAGTAAGGAAAAAGGCTTGATAGAACATTCACTGGATCCTACTATGTATCTTTGTAAGGATTTAATGAAGTCTTGGAATCCAGAATAGATGAATACAAATTCATACTGGTTGTGTGAAATATTAAAACTATTCAAAACTAATACTGTGAATTCAAAAATATTCGTGGGGGTTTAATTTTTGTTGTTTTCGAGGTATGACGATACCCACGAATTCATGTAAATCACGAGATGTAAAATGTTTTATACATAAGTACTCATCAATTCTTGATCCACGAAATCAAATGTCCACGAACCAAGAGATTTTTCTCAAACCAATCTGACCCCACGAAAATATGTGAGAAAATATGTGATTTTACAGTATATGCTTTTGAAGAATTTTTCCCCTTAGAGATAGATAGATAAAATTATGAGTACATTTATGAGTTGAAGTTTCATTAGACAGTAGAATTAAATCCATTGTCCTCTATCATACAATTCGAAAAATGAGCCTTACAAAGACAATTTTTTAATTGTTTCAATACAACGGACCACTACATACTTCAGTATGTAATCGTGCATTCCTTATCGAATTCGTTATCACTTCTAAATTACTTAACACAGAATCAAAGCTGGTTTTCATTTTGCCCCTCAATTGCCTAGTTATTAATGAGAGATTTTAACATACATATGATACACCGTAATTTACCGTGAAATCTTTTTAATTCGGGAGAGTAAATGTTTGCGGAAGCCAATACATTACTAGTTCTTTAAAATGTAATTTCGAGGAATATTCATACACATAAGAACAGAAGATTAGAATATTGTTTAAGAGGATGTATGTTGGAAAGGATGGTCCAAATATCTACATGTACAAATGATAATCCCTCATTAATGAATTTTTCTAATGTAAAATTCTTAATGAGAAAAAGAAATGATGGAGGAAAATAACTATTAATCTTAAAACAAATCATTTTCAAAATGAAATCGGAATAAATAAAATTATAACTTTATAAACCTAAATAAACGGGAGTTATTTGTCAACTTGACATTGTACTCTACATGTCTATGACAAAATATATTCCAAACCTTTTTTTTATCGAAAGGGTGTATCGAGTGCATACCTTTCAAAGATAAAAATAACTATTTTGATCAGAATAAAACAGCGCTGGCATTTTTTTTCTCGGAGGATGGTATTTTTAATGAAGTGCGAACAACTTTTAATTTCTACATAAAAATGTATTTTTGCAAATATCCGCCTTGAAGAGTGCACATTACCTTCAATGTTCCAAAGTGCTTTTTCAAAAAATTGTTACAACTTGTACTTAGAAGCAGTTTTATTTCCTGACATTTTTCCATACATAATTTCTTTTTTTTGAAACAAGTCAATGCAATGGTCTTTTTCTAAGTATAACAAAGTTAGAATTATACAACAAATTAGAGTCATGTACATATGATATATATTCTTCTGGTTGTTGTGAAGATTTCTCTATTAATCGTAAAATTTTATCAATATAAAGAAAAAAACCCCAGCCTTTTAATGTGTCGTATCATATTTGCGGATTTTGCAAACTGAATATTTGCGTGCTTATTTCCATGCATTTAGAGGATAATATTCGATCAAGAAAAACAATTTTCTGTCAGATACAGGCACAGGACAGTCACGACATCGAGATACAACGATTTCCATATTCATACAACATCCAGTCATTATACAATACTTTGTACACATAGAGAATCGTAACAGAGTGTTTAAAGTGTCCAAATCCCCTACGACTATGGTAACATACAATTGTTAAATATACAAAAATGTTAAATTTATGTATGATCATTTTTTGTGATATAATTTTATTATCTACACTTTTGCTCAGTAAAGAAATTAAGTCAACACAATGAAAGAAAAATCGTTCGAAAAAATGTCAACACCCATCAAACTTGTTTTGAGTAGGTAGTACAATGCACATGAATCGAAATAAAATATCAACAGATTTTTTTAACACAAAATGTTTTAGTACATTGATATATCTGTTCAATCTTACATGTATCACATGACTGCACAAGGCTCAAGGTGCGCATCCTGAAGGTGAGTGATGCTTTCGTACAATGTTAAGGACTTATTGTCAATCTATTTATCCTTGTGTCTACAAACTAGAACTGGGCAATGGGCATGGTGGACGACAAAATCACTGACGCTGCCCATAATTGTCCTCCGGAACTTGCCCATTCCTCTAGTTCCTGTGACAACAAAAGTTGCATTTTCTTTCTGGGCAATGTCTACAATAGCGTGCCCTGGCTTGTCGGCGTTCTCCACCCTGAATTCTGCCTCAATCTATCAAGAAAGCATAAGAAAGAATTAACCATTTTATCAATACTCCTAAACTAAATGTAGCTACCTTTACTGCTGTTACCCTGTATGATCAGATTAAAATTGGTACTTGAGTAAAGGCCGTGTCACACTGTCACGATTTTTGCTACGATTCCAGACGACTTACAAAAAACCATAAATCGCCGACAATCGCCACGCTAGCCTAGCATTTTTTGACAGAGGATGATTTTTTTCAGTGTGTCACGATACGACTACGATGTCCGCTCAACAATGTACGAGGCTTACACGATAACAGAACGAGTTTTGGCGAGTTATGTACGAACAAGGACGATCACATAGCGAACGCAATACGATCTTTACACGAATTTGTACGATAAGACACGATTTTAAACGAAGCTCTTACGAATACCTACGAGTCTGTACGATGCACACACGATATTCCCACGAACAGTGACGAGTTCTTACGACTATACTTGATTTGAGTATATATATAGAGGGAAAGGGTGGCTTAATTTCGAAGTTGTATAATTATGGCAGTAGCTACCGTGCGGAGGCTTCAACTGCTGCAATATATATTTGGGGGAACTTGATCAGAATATTGCAGAAAATGAAGAGGCAATTGCCATTTATTACATAACGGGCGTCCACAGAGGCAAAGAAGAAGATACTGGATAAGACCATGGATCACCAGACGGACTCAGTATGGATATTTCGATCGCTTGATGAAAGAACTTGAAACGGAGGATGTATTGTCATTCAAAAACTTTCTCACAGTAGAGCCAGACTTTCTCAGAGTAGAGCCAGGTATGTTTAGAGAGCTTGTAGACAGATTGAGTCCTAGATTACAAAAACAAGACACATGGTTCAGAAAGGCTTTGAAACCTGGATTAAAGTTGGCCATTACACTTCGGTATTTAGCAACAGGAGAGTCTTACACAAGTCTGATGTACGGATTTCGAGTTCCACATAATACGATTTCCTTGCTGGTTCGTGAAGTTTTGAAAGTATAGTAGCGGAATATGCTGATGAAGTAATTAAATGTCCAACAACTAAAGATGAGTGGCAACAAATAGCTGAGCAGTTCAGAAATAGAAGGAACCTGGACCATGTCCTTGGTGCTTTGGATGGGAAACATATTGCTATAAAATGCCCTCGAAACGGAGGATCACTTTATTACAACTACAAAGGGTTCCACCTCCTCATTCTTATGGGGCTTGTTGATGCTGATTATAAGTTCATCTGGGTTGACGTAGGTGCAAATGGTTCTGCATCAGATGCTACAGTGTTTAACAACTCAGAATTAAAAGATGTCGTCGAAAATCATAATATTGGATTTCCAGAAGATGTCCCTCTACCAAATGATAACAGAATTTCATCGTGGGTGATGACGCCTTCCTTATCAGGACATGGCTTATGAAACCTTTCGCAAGAAAGACATTGACCAATGAGGAGCGTAACTCAGCAGAGCAAGGCGCGTTGTAGAAAATGCATTTGGAATACTTGCCAACAGATGGCAATGCCTCTTAGCTCCAATGCGTCAAGAACCAGAAACTTTTTCATCTATTGTATTAGCATGTTGCTGTCTTCATAATTTCATGCGAATGAGATTTCCAAATCTCCAAAACGAAAATCTTGACCAGGAGGACTTAAATCATCACGTGGTTCCGCGAGCTTGGAGAGACTGTGCAAACCTTACAGACTTGAATAACGTTGGTGGATGTAATCGAGCAACTATAGCAGCGAAGACCCAGAGACTGTACCTGCAGCACTACTACAATTCACCTGCTAGGGCGGTTCCCTGGCAGAATGACATGATATAATGATTATGATTTTTAAGATTTGTATGTGTGTTCTGATGATTCTGCTGACGGCCGTTTTATTTAAATGTACCATATTGTAATGAATAAATGAATCAGGATATTGTTTTAAATTTATTGTTTATCAATAAACGTGAAGCATTGGACAATGTTAATACTCATTCTCTGAACAAATTAGAAATAAAACACAAACTTAAAATGCAAACACTCGTAATTACATATGTGTAAAGCCTGACAATCAACAACTGAATTACATGTACATTTACATGTAGATCAGTAACTTTAATGATAATCATTACAGTACAATGTACTTTGTAAAGAAAATAAAAATAACATAAAACACCAATCATAACTTAAAATAATCCATACCGTGAATAAGGAGCAATCAGCAATCAGTCAACGCGTACAATCGTACTTTATAGTTCACTCGCACGGTACTTGTATTGCACTCGCCGTCAATCGCATGTGTTCGTATCATATTCGCATGAAATCGTAGGACATTCCTTTTGAGTCGAGAAACACTCGAAGAAACTCGTGGGACACTCGCGATAAATCGTAGGAAACTCGCAGAGTCGGAAGTTCTACGAATTTCTGCGAGTCTCCTACGAATTTCGAAGATTTACAACGATTATGTGTACGAGTGTATTGCGATTTCTGTACGATCGCTTACGGATAATTAAAAATCGTACCGTGGCCACGATTGTTTTGAACATGCTCAAAACAATCGCCGCGTTTGGCGATTTGCTACGATGAAACACGAGTTAAGAAGATATCCTACGACTATCTCTAAGATGAACGCCGAATTACTGCGATTTTTTAACTCGTACTCTATCGTAGCCAAAAATCGTGACAGTGTGACACGGGCTTAACAAGAGGTTTGTTGCCAGGAGCCCATTCTCCACCTATCGCCACATAAAATTTACACAAGCTATGGAAATCCAACAATTGTCCCTATATTAACCTTTTATTAAAGATCTATTAAGTATATTAATACATAAATAATAATTAAACAATTTTATACCCCAAGTTTGCTTGCTTTGTCTATGAATTTTTGTTTGAGTTCCCCTGTTTTGCCGTCTGTTTCTCGCTGTAGTTCCATAACCCTGCCGGGACCTGTAAATAAGAAAACGAGGTCAACGGGTCTCCGAAGACATCAAAACTTACAATAGAAATCAAAGATTTAATGAAACAGTTTTAAATAAAAAAAGACGAAGGTCTATGGGTCTCCAAAGACATCAAAATTTATTGTAGAAATCAAAGAGCGTTAATGAAATAGTCTATAAACATTTGAGACCCGATAGTTTGTTAATAAATCTATCAGGTTCTCTAAACAAATTATCTCTTAGTTAACAAATTTATCAATTGAATTCTGGTTTGTCCTCGTAGTGACGAGACCATTTTGATTATAAGTTAACTTAAATGTTATTTCATCTAAGCATTTTATCAATTAGTTTTTGTTTACATCAGCTAGAACTTGCATTATCATATGAAAAATGACAAAATTCAAAGAAAATATTACATCGCTGAAGTATAATATATATATTCAATATTTATGTTTGCTCTCGGTGCACTGAGACATTTTCATCATATGTTGACAGAGATGCTATTTTATCTAATCGTTTCATCAATCAGGCTGTGATTACATCGTTAACAATTGTAATATATAGAAGAAATATTTCGGATCCAGACGGAACAGCGCAGAAATTATCAATCAATCATCCTTATAGCTATGGATACTGCTCAACATGTATCGCTGGACCCCATTATCTCTGATTAATCAGTCTTACAATAACTGATCAAATATAATTATTTTATTTATAAAGGGTCGCCGTCAAAGAGTGATGCAATAATCATCAGTGATTTTGGAAAGCCATATTTTGTGCTTTATTGACTAACGCAGTCGATCCTTACGAACTATTTTCCACATCATCAACTGATTTCTTTTTTTGGTCTACAAGAGTTTAGAAAAAGTAAACAATTATCTGGGAAAGACTATTGATTTTGGCTGCCATATTTCCCAGAGGAGATCTAGTGGACACAAAAAATCGGGAATCAATCGTCAGGAATGCGGTAACGGAGAGAACTCAGTATAGATTCTATTTGCCATCTGAGTCCTTAAAAATGGATTATATTATCGGAATTTCTGTTCTGCTGAGATGGAAATCCGATTTCTATTACTCAACAGAACATTAAAAGCACTTCCTCATTTCCATTGAAATAAGTTTGACCTTACTTATACTTCTGCTTAGTTATAATCTAAAAAGAAGTAATAAAAATGAAAAATAAAATCTAAATTTTAGGAATTGCATTTTAAATACTAAGGAGTAGAGGAAAGAAGCTCAAAGAATTCTTGTAGTTTTACTATGATAAATAATTAATAAATTCTCATTCCTGTACCTCTTTTCCAGTCTCGTTTAAAGTCATCATTTCGTAATTTCTATGGTCGATAAAATGACCTTGTCAGCAAATACGATTTATCATTGAGTCAAATGCTGACCGGCTTTTTTCAAACTAATTTTTTGGCCATTGTTTACACTGTGTTGTTGAATTTTTTTCGTTATTTCCCCTCAAAGACAAGAAGCACACGCCGAGTGTAACCGGTAGACAGGGGATGCTCACTCCTCCATGACACCTGCTCCAACCCATACACCAGAATCTTTTACAACAGTGGTAATGGATTTCAGAAATTAAGATCTTCTCAATTCTTATACCAACATTTTAACTTTAATTTTGATTAATAAAGCTGTGTTCTCCCTTAAAATAGCATTTTAACGCTTTTCTTCTGCTAAAAATGCTACTTGCCAGGATTGGTTGAAATTGAAGTGGAACAACAGTTCCAAAGAAGATAATGGAATATTAAATTTCAAACGCACGATGAATTACAAATGACGACGGAGAGGAACAGAGGGATGACAGATCACCTGATTACATAGAATTAGTTTTGACCTAGTAATTAAAAAAACGAATGACCATCAGTTTATTAGAGGTGTATATGCCCTGCAAATGCAAGTGATTATAATTACTCGCTCTGCAGCTTCCCGTGTTACTGTAGATAACGTACTGTAGGTTAGGTGATAAAGAAATATCCTAAATGCATGCTGTATGTATGAGCTTACATTTGTAGTTATTGTTGTGAATACCAGTATGTCACCCTTGCAATATTTTGAATGTTTGTGTACCATACATACAGCTCAACACACTTTTTAAGCTCAAATGGTTTTTCGCACAAATTAAGGTCACATTGTTATGATGTAATATTGTGTTTCGAGACAACAAAATACATTTTAAAAGTATTTGTTTACATAATTTGAGTTTTATTTCATTTATTGAAACATAATTCACACAAATCAATTGGTAGAACTTTGACATATTCATGGCTGAAAAATAACAACTATTCTCATTTGAATTTTTGTGGTTTCTTGCCAATTGCAGCTGTCTTTTTATCCGTTCTTTTGAAAGCAATAGCTCTTGGCAGAAACGTAGACATTGGCACAGTACAGCTACTGTAACTTGTATTTTCTGTACATTTTGACACTTTACTCGGGGTGGTAATAGTATTTTTCATCTGTTTGACTGCTTTCTATGTAAATAAGGTGGGATTTTTCAGAGTCAAGTTCTAAAATCTAGAATCATAAGAGATTCAACCCACTGCAAAATTTTAACGTTTCAAACCGTAAATGCAGAAGAATTTTCCTTTTCATAGAAGGAATTTACTATTCAAAAAAATAAACAATACTTCATTATCCTACCCTTTAGTGTGGTTTCCTTCTGCAATGTTATTCCCTTTCGGCGCTAAATTTCGACAAAACCAAGAGGAGTATGGTAAATTAGCAAAGATTTTTTAAAAATACTCACCTTGAAGAAGAAAATTTAAAATTTTCAACTACATGGTATCAAGGAAAGCTCGTTTTATACAATTTGTAAAAATCTATGGTAGAATCGTATAGTCAAAACATTCTACCATTTATTTATAAATTCCCCTTTAAAACATCCACTTTGGAAACTTAAGATAATATTTTTAAGACATTTATGCTTGACATTATATATGTAATATAACGAAGGGTTTTGTCATTGTACTGCAGTTCGAAAATGGTAATTTTAAATTTTTATTACAATAATATGACCTTAGTTTGTGCGAAAATCCATGTAAGCTTAAAAAGTGCGTTGAGCTGTAATGCAATACTGCTAAAATATTTTACACAGATTTTGCAGATAACCCCAAGCAATCGGTTTCTGTTAAGCTTTCAGTGATACTAAATGTACATAATTAAGTAAGGTATTTTGCCAAAATTTTATTTACCTATTTGCCCAACTTTTTAAAAACCTTTAAAACATATCTTTTATTTTTTTTGCATTTTACTGTGAAATTTTGTCTTAAATCGTTTTTAATTTTGAAACTTATAATATCTACAGTTATTATAGTTATAAATTTCCAATGTGAATAAGAAAGAGGCTTGATTAAAAAAGAAGTGCAAAAGATTCGAATCCTCATCATTATGGAAACGACATATTCCTCAGAATCCCTGTGTCTAGGGGCATGAGGTTCACATTTTGGAAAAAAAGCTAATCATTACTATGCATTTAATTTCTCAGGTAAATGCTAAGAAGGAGGAAATTGGTAGAGAAATAGTGCATTGTTCACTGTATGATTAATACAGCCGTGCTTTCTATCCCAAGAGTCACAAGTCACAAGTAATAATATGGGTATTTTAATGCAGAAAAGAATAGAAGACGGGACCATTGAGGCTTGATATAAAATGTGGGGGATAGGCACTCCAAAGTCGAAGATCAGAAAATGCAAGGGGTGGAGCTTTTGTTACAAAGAAAAAAACTGGAGAATCTTGTTGCAAGTTTTGCAGCATTTACATATTAGATTGATTTTCTCTATCTTATCCCCTGAAAGAACTCGTTAGAGTATCAAACGAAAAATATGATTCCTTTGAAGATGATTGAATTCATCTATTTTACCGTGAAACACAAATTTGTATAGACTAATGAAATATATTTTATAACGAAAAAAAAAGAAACAGGAAATAAAAAAACAATTTTTTATGCATTTTTTGAGGAGAGAATCAGTATTGCGTTTACTTATATTCTTGAAATAACGAAGACTGAATAAAACTGCAGAAGCAGAATTTATTCAAGAGAAAAAGACAAGAGAAGAAGAAAATATTTGTTGTGGCATTCAATTCGAAATGTAGTTATTTCACGATGTTTTATAAATTAACAATAAATATTTTCATGTATATGATGACGACTCGATTTATTCCAAATACTTAGTTATTTTCATGTATATGATAACGACTCGATTTATTCCAAATACGTACACTAAAAGACACCACAGAGTCTGCCAGATCTGTGAAACATATGGAGATAACGAACAGTATTCAAGATCAAAAATTCATAAAACTATACAAAATAGGAGCAGAGCAAACATGGACCTCCAAATCATCAAATTTGGGATCGGATGCCATGGAAGTGTGAGTATCCTCTGCCGACAGGTCACACCCACCCTGTGCTCCTAATCATGATCGGGAAATAACGGGAAAATCCTTCGTCAATTCAGTGTATAAATAATGGACTAACAATTAGTACGAAATACGTCAGTCAGCATTTGACTCATTCATAAATTGTATTTGCTGACAAGGTCATTTGCATCGACCATAGACCTAACCAAATAATGATTTTAAATGAGACTGCTGATATTCTTACTTCGTCAACTTGTTTGTCAATAATTTGCCTCGTTTTAGAAATTGTTCTCATACGTAGAGGATGCGTATCGAATCAACTGAGATATATAAACTCCGTATGCAGGTGATGAAGGTATATTGCTGGATAAGTAAGGGAAGTTGGCGATTGTAAAATTAAAGTCAGAACGTTTATCCTAGAGCTTGGTTGTTACATAACCATTAACGTCTTTTTCAAGTAAAATATCCAAATATGCAAGATACATAAACTCCGTATGCAGGCGATGAAGGTATATTGCTGCATAAGTAAGGGAAGTTGACGATTGCAATTATCCTAGAGCTTGGTTGTTAGATTACCATTAACGTTTTTCAAGTAAAATATCCATATATGAAACAGATGTGTCAGACTCTGTCGTTTCTTTTATCTCGAGCTCACCGGGATATATCGTATCGAAATGAGAATGGAAATTACGACTTGAATTTTAATAATTACATTATTATTAAATGATATTATACAATAAAGGCCAATTATCAACTATTTTATATTACATGTATAACAAATGTGATGATTTCAGCTTTTCAACGGTCAGTTTTCCTTATTTATATGTATGTAGTAATATTTCACTATAACCTGCCTAAGGTTTTGATGTCTCCAACCTTGTTCGCTTCTCAAGAGCTTGCTCTGAGTTCAACAATTTTTTTAAACTCACAGATAAGTTGACGCTACAGGCATTTTAACAAACTTTTTGATGATGGGAATTTCTGAAATTATTTAGTCGCTGAAATGACCTTGTAAGGAAATATATATATAACCCATCCCTTGGTCTTATCTAGGCAGACTTGTTTCAAATAAATTGTTAGTCCTTTGTGTACTGAATTTGACTCCGGAAAGTTCCGTTTACTACCTGATCAGCACATAGGGCTAGTGACAGATGTGACTTGTCATCAGGGGATGTTTACTCCCGCAAGGCACCTGATCCCACCCTGAAATTTCCAGAAATGTTTTTATGCCCTCTTTACATTTTCATGGATTTTTTTTTTGATCGATAACTGTTCATTAATACATTAATATAGCCAATCATGAATCAAGGGAGATCTGTTAATGCAATTAAATTTTATAATTAATTTTATAATACAAAAATAAACATGTCCAGATCTGAATTAAATCCTAACTAACAAACGACTTCCTTCGGTAGTCATTGCTAGGGGAATTTTAAAGTTTGTATTGGAACAACTGATCACTAAAAGAAAAGTGTTATCAATTATCAACAATGACTGCAATTCAACTTGCATTCATGATTACACAGCTCTCGAAGTCTTAATTTATGGTGCATTTTATTACTTTCAAACAGGAGAGTAATGCAATTTAAGACAGTTTAAAAGTATTTTGTTATATCGACATGAGATTTTGCCACCGAGCAAGATTTTTCAATTTTACTGACTCTACCTTATGTTTTAAACAAACATATTTGTATATCAATATTCTTTTTCCTTTTTCTTCCTATGTATAGACATTGACAGTTGTAGCATTTTATGGTGAGAACCTCGTAAGTTGTTAGAACTTGTGTTCAAACCATTTGTATAGTATTTATACAATAAAATATGTTCAAACCTTACTTCTCTGCCTCTGCCTATTGACCAGAGGTTTTGAAGCTGGAACAGCAAGAAACATTTTTTCTAGGGTTATCACCACCATTCTAGCTGAATAAATGAATATGCATTAACTTCGCAAGTCAATTTACAGCGGAAATGCTTTTGCTTTTTTCAATCTCAGTTATTAAATTATGCAAATTTTGCTTGATGTTATGTGCTTTGCAGCCACGAGGGTTTTCCCTAAAATTCTTCGACAACCTCTCTATCGGAAACTTGGTTTTTGTAAGGGTGAATTCAAAGAATTTAGCTTACTATTTTATCCAGAATTTGATAGTTTTGTTTGTCGATTTTCCAGACAATTTTACCAAGCTTCAAAAGTATAAGCATTATCATCCGGAGCACACAGCAACAAAGTTAAAAGAAGCCGTTAATAGTCTTTACTTTAAGTTACAATTTTGAAGGCATGTAAAAATATGTCGAGATAAATGAGTCTTTGACTCAGTGATTTGACTCGACTAAAGACGTCTTATACGATCTAAATAAATAGGAAAAAATATCTCAAAGAAATCTCGCAGGGATTTATATTTTTCAAAGTAGGTAAATGATGGATATATTATATTAATTAAACACGAATATGAATTCGATGGATGTAATAGAATTATACCCTGGGATCAATAAGCAAAGTCAGAGAAGTTAAGAAGAGACAGAACATTAAAAATCGGGGGCAAAGTCTCATGTAGATATAACAAAATACTACTTTTAAACGTCTTAAGCTGTAATGTCCTTCATTTCCTGTTTGAAAGTAATAAAATGCACCATAAATTGAGATTTCGAGAGCTGCATAATCATGAATGCAATTTTTAAATTGCAGTGAATGACGAAGAAGTTAATGATCTGGATAAATATTTTGATCATTGTGTTTGTCCTTGTCATTATGAACACTCACTCATTGTAGTGGCATTGATGTAACTCTCCGGAATGTGAAGAAGAATCACTTTGTTCCCTGGTTTGTGGAAGTTCGTCACATACCCTGAAAATATAAAATATTCATTTCTAAGAGTTTCAGAGTAGAAATGTCGTTGGTCATATATCTTAAAAACAATTTAAATCATGTTTCATGAAAGGATTGCTTTTATGTCAATAATACGTGTTCAGTTATTTAAACAACCTGTGAACAGAATGCCTTTATAACTATAAAGATAGAGAGTACACGGATAGGAATAATTTATTCCAATCACATGTGTTTATTTTAGACAGAGAATTACCAGGCAAGTATGTGCATGTAGTTAAAACATGGTTGTTTTTTTTTCATTATATAGGTACACGCATACATGTACATGTATTTTCGTTTATTTGCCAGAAAACATTCTGTTATACATCAATCGAAGCAATTCGATCAAGGAAGCTGACTGTACAAGTGTGCGAAATATTTTTCAAATGCAACCATTTCCAATAACAAAGTCAGTCAAACAGATATTGAAGACACCAAGCGTATCGATTCCCAAAGGGCTTTCATGCCCTTTTTTAGAAGTTTGAATTTTTATTGCATCATTATGAAATGCAATTTCCATCTGAAAATCAACTCAACAATGAAATAATGTTCTTTGACATTTGACAGATGGTAAAAAGTCAGCAAGCCGAGAATCATGAAAAAACATACTGTTCCGATATAAAAGGGTAAATCTAATCTTTCATGAATAATACTTTCAAGTTTACATGCAGAGCGATTTACAAACAAGAGGAATATACTAAAATTGTCTTCTGATAAGTGTCAAGGTCTTTTTCCCATGAGTAATTCTGGAGGTAATTGAGACACAATGTCCACGCAACCAAAGAACTACTTGTACATTGTTTCCAAGCCTGCTCTCTGTTATAAAGTAGCCTTTTGTACAGTAACTGAATCAGCCTTCGCTATCGGTGCGCTGTGAACAGCTGTCTTATATCCAGCGAGCTATGCAGTACACCTTGTAAACTGTCATTTCTCACAAACTCTGAACTGATGTTATACTGTGATAATACACAAGAAGAGGTTTGTAAACCTGTTTTCAACCAGAAAACCACAGAGGCATATCAAATATCTATCTGTTTATCACTACTTATTAATCAAAATGCTGTAAAATAAAAAGCAGGTTCTACATCTCTATTGTCTATTTTAGAATAAAAGATGGAGCTTGAGTTCAAATCTTGATTTATGTTTGTCCGAGTACTCAATTAGAATTTTGGAATGGATGTTAACAATGAAACACCGCTTGTACTCTAAATTTAAAGCAAAATAATATCCTCAATGTTGGCCATTAATGTCCACTACTACCTGATAAGGCCTTTTGACCACCACAGAATGTTAATATAACCCAGGGCAGTAGAGTGGACTTTAATAAATGTAGGGTCACACTGGTATTAGACGGTTTTACTGAAGGTCAGGCATCCAGCAAATTTTTGAGGTATGCTTAAAAAATGGAGATTTGTATAAGAAGGAAGTCATTTTAAAAAATAGATATTTTGACTTTAATTGAACTATACAGACATATACAATTACGTGTACATGCTTCACCATTTTTTTTAGAGAAACATGAATGAATCAATTGTTGGCAGTTTTAAGTCTTAAAACAATTGACATTCGAACAAAACAACGGATTACAATTAAAATACTTAACAATTTTAAACCCTTAACATGTGCACACGTTCATAGCAAACAAAATTAGAACACGATTTCCTGATCACGAATAGAAATACACTGTAGAAGCAATTCATTCTTCCCTACTAAAATGTTTTATGAACGAAGTTTTTAAATTTAAATCAAATGGGAAAAAAATATACAAATTTTCAATCCAACGAGAAACAACCATTAAGTTTACTTACATTCGAATGCATAGTCGGCAAACTCGCTCTCATCTACAGAAATAACAACCGTGGCCATACTTAAAATCCTCTCTATATATCCCACGACAGACAGAGCTTTAAATGTGGTCCAATATTAATTCCTGGTATTTAAAGCAATCTGATACAGGTCAAAGGTCACAACTCAATAAAATATCCAGCTCTTGATTTACAGAATATTCACAATTTCTCTGCGGCACTTGATGTAACCAGGTTCCCCTTAATGAAACGTGTTTCTTTACCCAACAGCTGTTATTTCGATTACTACAATGCATCCATGCACATTGCTTGCAATGGGCCTAACATTCTTATTATGGTGGCGGATCTAATGTATAGTCTATATACAGAAATATTTCGGGTTTATAAATGAATTTAATTTTAGATTAATTTCATTCTGATTAAGAGTGTGTCATAAAAAAACTAAATTTCCTGTCTTACGTAAATGAAGATCTTCAATTAAAAAAAGTTTAAATAACGCGAAGTTAATATAAATTCAAATTTGTGTAACTTTTAAATCAAAAAAAAAAAAGTAATACCGGTATATTCAAACATTTAAATGAATTAAAGATAGGTACAACTGAATAATTAAAGCTAGGTTTAAATGACTAAAAAAGTCTAAATAAAAGAAATGCATATCTTTTAAATACTTGAATATGAATTCAGAATTATTAAACTTTTCACTAATTCCTTTACAGATACGTTCAATTCAGTTACAGAAAAAAATGAACTGAATTATCGCATACCATTTGTTTATATATATACATATATTTGTGTGTAAATTATTATTTTTGTATGCATGGATATGTGTAACAATAAGTGTATGTTTATAATATATACTATACATACATATATTTGTATATAAATTATTATTTTTGTATGCATGGATTTGTGTAACAGTAAGTGTGTGTTTGTGTATGTGGGTATGCATATGTCAAATATCTATTGAACTAACTCCAAGAGATTAGTTTGCATTAAGTTTCTAATTATATGCTAAGTACTTATTAATTGAAATTACTATTTCTGTTAATACTTAAATGATTTTTTTTTTTTTTTGAATGACCATCTTCAATACTTAGGGTACAGGTTTGCCAGACTGGCTGTGTATAGGTATCATCCCCTGGTGCCCTTTGTATTCAAGATGCACTAGTTTTATATTAGAGTACTGCCATTACTACAAGATTTTTTTTTTTTTTTTTTTTTTTTTTTAATTTACCTTATATCTATCATTTTTATTTAATTGTGTTTTCTTTTATCATTCTATGGTTTCTATGCCTTTGATCCAGTGTGGTGATGCACTTCTCAATGTCAAACTTAATCACAAGTCATGTTACATTATCCTTAATATAGAATTGTAATCAATGTTATCATTTTGTAATAATTGTTCATGCCCCCTGTGGGCCCTTGATTGGTGAATAAACATAATAATAATATAATATTTGAAGATATGTACACATCAAACAAACCTAGATTCGGCAACTATCTTTAATGTCAGTTTTCCTGTCAGTGTATTGATTTCTTTCAACTAGTCGCATACATGTATCTTTACTTCTATAATTACATCTTTCTTCAAATCCATTGTATATATACCTACGAATGAATTACGCTAGTAAAATTATATAAAATGGCCTAATTATGTCACCTTTCGTCATTTATATATCTATCAAAGTTAGGCACAATTCAATTAGAGAAAAGTTTAAATGTTTTAAAGATGGACGTAAAATAATTATTCTTAAGCTTTATATCTTTAATTCATTTGCAAATATTTCAAAATAGGTAAAATTCTTTTTATATATATGTGACATTTATGTTCCATCGATTACTGGTATGTAATTTAATTTTTAAATTCTGCTTTAGATGAAGGAAAGATAAAGAATTATAAATTTCAGAAGATGTCGAACCCTCAAATGTTCAAAGTTCTGTACTTACAACCAAAAGCGATATCCGAAGTTTCACTTTCATCTAACGCTATAAGAACTGTGGCCATCGTTTCTCGGTACTGAAGTAAAACAGATTGAAATACATCTGTGACAATGGACCTTTTAAACAGCCAATTGTAAGTTAATCATGATAAATCTTTTTTACAGTTAAAGGGGAGTAACTCTCATTCTAATTACAAGAAAATTTTGCATACCCAAACGTCTTGATAACTAACATTTTTTTGTCGGAGGCTGACTTTTTAAAGCGGTTTAAATAAAACTTACTTTTTAAGAAGAAATACGACCGTCAGCATTATTGAAAACCTAACCTTAATGGCGACAACTGCTTAATAAATCATTTAATAATTTGCTTGATAGGACAGAGAACGTCTCTTTGGCAGTCCAGTTCTTCGTTACGTTCTTGTCTGTGACAGATTTACGTGTGCTGAGGAGATCATATTATTGATTTGATGAGAACGTATTACTGGGGAGACGGAAATACTCATTTTTATGCAACATTACGGTTTTTTTGAGTAATATGCTCTTATGCTTTGCTTTCTTCCTCTTTCGGTAAAGATTTTTTGCGAAACAATCGATAGCAGCTTCTTATTTTTTGACAACACATCATTATTTTTATGCAGGTAGACGCGCCGCCCAATCGTACACTGTATATATAATTAAAGAAATCCCGACTTCAAGTCATGAAATATTTCCACTGATACATTTATTGTTTTTATTACGTGACAAAAATTACCACTGCTAACAAATAAGAAAAAGATTTTTTCTTTAAAAATATTAACATTGCAATATAAATTAATGTTTTGTTTTTGTTTAACGTCCCTCTCGGGAATACATCGTATAATGCTAAAAAATACGAATTAGATTGTAACATGTGTAATGCTCTCTTAGATTACCTTCATGCACCATGATGAAGGAAGTATTTCTTTTAAAGAGTAATGATTGAGTTATATTTTTTCACACTTCTACGTATAAACAGACCCGCCTATCGCTGCTCTGTTTCTTTTTAGTGAGCAAGGGCACTAACCTTTATCATACATATATTTATATTTACATCTGCAGCATTTCAACATGGGGCGGAAAACAGGGCACACGAAAGCCAGATAAAGAGATATCAAACAATGTGTATTTGAAAGCTTTATTATCAGCATCACGCGAAATCTACTTTGTACTCGCATCCATCCGATACTCTTTAGTGGTTTTCATACAAATTAACGTT